CTTGTATGACACCAAGCCAATTTGCAAAATTTGCAGGCGCCTGCCACTGACGCCATACAAGGTACGAGTTGGTTTGTACGGGCACTGGAAGGAAAATGAAAAACGTCTTGTTTGCTCTACGTGGATGGCGAGCTTGAGGCATTTTAAGAGCGGAATAACTGGAGTAGAAGGACGCCAAGAATCCAGTTGCTTCACATGTGGAAATTAGAAAGATCAGATTAGGAGAACTTCTTTGTACGTGGCGCGCAGCGCGGACTCTGAGTGGAAGCAGCCCTGAGCCCCCTGAACGTGTTTTAGTAGGTCACTTATTTCACCAAATCTGCCTACGCCCGGATATATTAGATTCCTTTCGTCGAATTTCCCGGAGACCGACCCGGGCGTACACCAGGGTTTTCAAATCCCATGCCCTTCAATATAAACAAGACCCCGCGTGACAAACGGTTCGAAGGCCTCCTTGCAGCTGGTTTGACATATCGCGCTTCCAACCACGCTCTTTTCGTCTCGTGCGAAATACGACCTGTGTGAACACGAAGTCTGCTCTGGACTTGGAGCCGTGAGATTCGATCTACGAAAAAGCGAATCGAGCCCGGGAAAAGTGACAGTGGATGGCCAGGTCTGTGCTTGACAAGCCTTCGCAAGAAGTGTGCGCGTGCGTGCGTGCGTGCGTGCGTGCGTGCGTGCGTGCGTGCGTGTCCGTGTGCGTGTGCGCGTGCGTGTGCACGTGCGTGTGTGTGTTTGTGTGCGTGGCTTCATCGAGCTGCCCATTAGCCCACCGTGGAATCCACCGCGGTACCACCCTCTTCGGACAATGCAAGGGAAGAGGCCGTCACTCCCGGGCAGTGACAGATTAAACACTCCCTCCACCCGCTAGCTCCTCAGTATTGCAATCTGGTTGGTAGTAATTCAGCATTTTAGGAGTTCAGCTTTTAATTGTCTAGTAATTGTTTTCCTTCTGTGTATTTGCTAAGTAAATTTGTATTTTTCTGCCCGCGCACCCGCTGGGTAAAGTGCTAATACTATTTATTGCCACGTTTCGATATTTGTGAACACAATTATATTATTTATCTTTCTAATTAAATGATCGCCTTAATTCAACTCACGTTGTTTAAAAACTTGTGGTACGTCCTCTTTATTGGCAAGGCGTCATCGCGGTGTAAGCCGGTCTTCTGGTCAGCAGATCCTTCTTCCTTTTCTGCTTATAGTGAACCATGAGCCTGTGCGCGTGTGACGGCTTACGGCACTTGGTGGCGGCGCCGGCTGATTCTTACAAAGATAGTTCTAATTGCAAATAAACACCTACAGGTTTTTGCACTTGATGATTCTATTGGAATTTTATAAAAATATTTCCCCAGATCGATAACCGTCTTGCCCCCCTCAGCCCCGTCACAGATCATGACTTTTCTGATCGCTGATGAGGCGTCACAGGAGGTCCTGTTGGAGCGACTTCCGTAGCACCCGAGCGCACACTTGGTTGTTGTGTCCCACATTGAACCGCTTACGCTACCTAAATCTCCCGTAACTCAATCTTGATTTCCACTCATTCGCCATTGTTTCTCGAGACACGCGGTTTTCGTTCCGCCCTAACCATGCGCGCCATCGGTCGGAGCAGGTTTCCGCAATGCCGCTCGTTTAAGTGATGCATAGAGAAATGAATTAAACGGCTTTGTCAGCAAGCTTTCGAGCGGTGCCTATAAATACGAATCAAATTATTTTGTCAGTCAGGTGCTAATATTAAAGTACTAACATTAAGTGGTATCACAATTAACATCTAACCAGACAAGTATAAAACCCTAATAAGGATCGTATACGCGCCGCAACGTTCAGTTTTCATTGGCCAAAGCAGTCATATCAGCAATGAAACGAAGTTCACGTGCTATTTTTATAACGCTTCATGATGCATGCGCATTAATAAGACAAGGTACGGATACTGTGTCATGCGTCGCTCGTGTACCACTAGTCGTTAAGACAGAAACGTACCAGCTGTAATTGAAGCGACCACGACCTGGTTACACGTTTATTTTATTGTTTTAAAACAAAATAATGCTACATGTTTTCGCAGATTTGTAATTACCGGTCATCAAGGACCCATCGAGTAAAACTTAAAAAAAATCGAGTGTTAATTTTTTTTAATTGCCGCTCAATTATCGCAAATTTTTGACATTTTCGGGTTTGACGAAATTTTCGGGCGCAATGCAGAAAACACTTTTAATAGTTTAACGATAATTAATTTGTCAAGAGTTCACAAAGCATAAAACACTCGACACAAACAGTCTCAGCTTTAGAAAATAAATTTAAAGCGACTTAAAAAGTCCCAAAAAATGCCTCATTATGTAAGATTTGCTCTAGGTGCCAAGTTTGGCATTTTGTTTAGCTTCTAATATATGCTCATATAAGTTAAATTTAACTTATTCTGGCAGAAAAGTATTCTTGAATTAAAGGTAAAAGTTCGACGGTGTAGAAGGCTGTATTCTTTATTCCTCCAGCCTTCAAAGTTGCGTCATCGCGCAGTTGGAAAATGGTTTGTTTCAACCTTCTCTCGAATGCGATTTTACTCATGAATACAAAAAAGTATCTTGCAAAAGTAAGGTCGGCACCGTTGTGTGGACCGGCCTCACTACATCATATAAAAATTTAATTGAAAATAAAAAATAGGCATAAAACCACCATGACTGTCCTTATCTGAACACACCCTGCCCAGAACAGAAGCCACTATAGTGCAGCTTCCCTGGTCATCCTTCTTCACCAGAGTGGAGAGGCTGAAAGATTTTTTTACTTTCCTCGACTAAGTACCAACTGTAGCGAGCGCAAGACACTAATCAGAAGCGGGTTGTGTGAGGACTAGTGAGAAAAACAAAAAAAGAACTGAGCGACATATACGTGTCTTTTCCAGCACAGATCTTTACACCAAGTAAGACAAAATGTATCGCGCCCAGTTCAATAAACTGCTTATCAGTGAAGTGTCGAAGCCTCGGGTTCTCTGGGACGCGTAGCAAAAATAATTTAGAAACGATGGGACCAAAGGTCTCCGTAAACGAACCTACTCCGGATCATAACCACTTACCCCCATTTCAAGAAAAAACACACTTTAACGCCATTTAGGAGGTTCGTGCCTGCCATATGAGTTGGAGTCTTTACATCCGAGGAAGGCACTGTCCGTGACGGTGGCCACGATGATCCGAGGTTTCATCCTCCGCGACATGGAAGAGCACATAAGCAAATAAGATTAAGGTTTATTTAGTATTTTGAACACTTTTGTTTTTGTTTTATTAAGGTGAAAATAAAGGGAAACCTGAAAACTAAGACATTAAAATGGTTGTTAGAAGTCGCTGTAACCGACTGTGCATATCTGCTTGCTGCAAGCAACATTGGCCATTGCAACCAACGTTACTTTTATTGCAACGCAGAAATCGCTCATGTGAAATGGAAACCTCGGGATTCGTGCCGCCGCGCCGCTAGCGGCAGGGATTTCGGCCGCGGAATCGCTGCATGTGAAACCCGCAGATGCAGTGAAACATGTGGGCTCCGGAGAAAAGGAGAATAATGACAAGGCTTTTATCTTATCTGCACAGGGGTGTCTGGTGTAAAACGTAAGCGATCCATTGGAGGTAACAAGCAAGTGGATTTCACTTGTGGAGATGAAAATCGTGCCTTTACTCTCCTTTGTCCCGAAGCCCATATATTTCACGATCATCTTAAAGGGGCGATGCAATAATTTTTGTACTTTGCGCAAATGCCTCTTAGAAGGGATCCCTGACGTTAATGACCTATGAAACACGTGTTCGTTTTTCGTCCCACGCAATAGAAGCACCAGAAAAAAAAAAATAAAGGAAACGAGCAGCGTTCATTCCCTCAGCTCGCAGCCAGAACGAGTGGCCACTTAATCTGGAGCCGATTATATATGCGCCAATGCCTGCATTTACATGGATGCCACCGTAGCGCATCGAGTCGAGATTTCAAGATTTTGATTGGTAGCAGTTGGGTAGAAGAAAAAGGAGTAGAAGACAGGCTGCGTGTGATTGGTCCCTGCTCAATTCGATGCGCTACGATCGCATTCATGTAAATGTAGCCACAGTTGATCATAACCACGCGCTGAGGTCGGCGAAGGACAGGAAACGCGCTGAGTTCCAGACATTGTTATGGTTCGGCTATTGTCGTCGTTGCAGCGATTGGACACGGGCCACTACCCTAATGCTTCTCGAGCTAGTAATTCTCGCGAGCCCAAATCGAGTGCCCACGCAATGCTCGGGTCCAATCTATGAACCGCATTCAAGTATAGTCATTGGGGTGTACTCCGATCTCCACGTTACGTCATCAAATTTTGCAAAGGAGAGATTGAATAAAATGATCGCTTTTGTCCTTGAAATTACACCGCAAAAAAGAAGTTTCTCTGCCAGTGGTGTTGCGTGCGAATATCCTTGAGTCCCACTAGTGCCAGTAAGCTCGTGTAATGTGAAAAAAAAAAATTGGAGTGGCTTAGCTCGCTTGGCCCAGTATATACGTAACGCGAGCTTATGCGCACAAATTGAGAGGCGCTATCAAGCGGCTCCGGTGCAGCGTCCAACTTGGCTACTGCGCAACGGAGGCGCACAGCTGGGCACGTGGCGGCGCTCGTGCTTCTGCCGCGGCTATGACGTCACTCCTCTGGAATGCGCAGACCGGCGAGGCGGGCGAGGCCAACACCAAGTGGAAACGGAGAAAGCCTCGGTTCTGCCGCCTTTCCACTCTTAGTACGCCAGCTAATGGGGCGGCTGCGATAGGCGGCTCGACGGGTCCGGACCTGTCCAGGCATGTCGCCCCATTGCAGGTGCGGCTGAACAGTGAGCTCTACCAGTCCCCCGCAGACTCGGCCTGCTTCCGAGTGTCGTTTTCAACGTGCATATCTGTTCTGTCAAATTTCTCGTGTTTTGCGCGTCGCTGTGAGTTTTTTCGCGTCTCCGCGAGCTTGAGAAATGTGAAAAGAGCGACGATAAGATGCCGTACAAGTGCTCTGTGCTGCGACGCCGCGGAAACTACTCCGTGGACACCAAAGTGCACGTGTTCAAGTTCCCAAAGGATCAAACACTGAGGGATGCATGGATACGCGCTGTGCCGCGGGAAGACCTCTCCGTCACCGAGAATTCAAGGGTAAGCTTTCTTTTTGGTAGAGAATTAATTGTTTCATTGCAAATGGAAATTCAATAAATGTATACATTCGTATAAATGCGGCTCGCAATCCGCACTTTATGTCAAATACCCATTGGCTTGTTCATTGGACGCAAAATTCCTTTCTAGGTATGCGAACTTCACTTCGGACATGAGGACATCATCCGAGAAGCATGGCATATCGATGAAAGTACTGGCCGCACCATCACAGTGCCCTTATCCCATGTCCGTCTTCGCCCTGACGCTGTACCGTCGAAGTTCCCTAGCTGCCCGACCTAACTGTCTAGGGAAGCCACAAGAAGAGAAAATCCCGACTTCAAGCGGGCGCGCATGGAGCATGCTGCTATGCAAAAAGCTATCGCGGAGTCCGAGGAGATGTTTAACAGGGCACATGAAGAGGAAAAAGTCCATTCGTTAGGAGAACTAATCGGACACTTGCGGAGCAAGGAGATGAAGTTTTGGAACATAATAGAAAAGGACGAAATGCTTGTTATTATCCACATCGTCGACGTCGAGGCCCCGTGGCTGAAGTACTCTGTCTGCGTAAAAGTAGACATGAACGTGACGCTACACGTCATGAAAACGGCGGTAAAAAAGTTAGGTGCAAATCTGGTCGTTCCAGAAATTGCTGATAGTAAGAAGGGTATAGTAGAACTCCTCGAAGGCATCGAGAAGTGGAACGGGGACCTGATTTCCAACTCAGTCGAGGAAATTTGCGAGGCTATTTGCCTACTGCTGGATCAGTTGTCCACGTTCCTCGCAGAAGATGACGCCGACTCCCTTGGATTTCTGCGACAGCAAGTAAGCTTGTTCCAAGCGAAAAACCAGCGCAGAGGCTACTCTGCAGATTTTGTGGTGTTTTGTTGCATTCTTTTCACCATATCGCCCCATGCGTACGCTTATGTACGCAGCCATGGAAGCGTCACTTTGCCGCATCCCATGACGATCAGATCGGTATGCTCCTCTTATGGCATGAGCCCTCAACAAGAAAATCAGAGCAAAGCATTCCTCAGTTACATGCGAGAAGATTTTCTGACCTCAAAGATCACCAGCGCTTCGTCACCGTAATGGTAGACGAAATACACATCAAACCTTACTTTGAATACAAAGGGGGCAATATTACCGGAGCTTCGCTTAACTGAAATGAAGCTGCAAACTGTGCGCTCGTTTTCATGGTGCGCAGCCTGAAGTGCAAATTCAAAGAAGTTGCGCACATCGTGCCAGTGCACAGACTAGACGCGGAGCTCCTGCACAAGATGCTGAAAGATGTGATTTGCGGCCTGGAAAAGATTGGGTACCGCGTTGTGTGCGTCGTGAGTGAAAACAACTCTGTGAACAGAAAAGCAATGTCCCACTTCGAATCGCCCGCTTCTAACAGAACTGTGTATCAACACCCGTCAGACCCTGCAATGCCGCTGTTTTTCGTTATAGACCCGGTACACATACTAAAATGCATACGAAACAACTGTATCAACCAGAAGAATGACCAAGTTTGCTTCTACTTCCCTCATTTTCGACAGCTTTAAAAGGAGACTTTCGATCAATAAGAAACATACTAACAGCGCTCAGAATTAAGCGCTGTTACAGGATTTATGTAGAAAAATTTCAAAAACCACGAAGGATAGCACTAAAAGAAACGTGGAAGTTAGTAAATGAGCTACGAGGTGGTAAAACAAAACCAAGTATTGATTGCACAACCACAAGGCACTTTTGTGAATCAGCCGATTTCGTCTTGCTATGGGAATCATTTAGTACAAACTTTGTGAACAATGTGTTGGACCTGCCGTCTAATATTAACTACCAGATGCAAACCGCAAGGCCACAACAGAGGTAAAATTTGGAATCTGCATATCTTCCTTTGATGAAAGCAGATTTATGCGAGATCATAAGCACAATGTAGATTAAAAAAGGCAGGAAGAGATAAGATTCGTCTGAAAGACATTCCATGCAATTTGGATAAAATGAAAGACGTTCTACTAGCACTTTTAAACGGTATATTCATTACACGAGTTATCCCGGATGAACTAAAAAGTGCGATAGTGAGGCTATTATTTAAAAGTGGGGAAAATTGCAGGAAATTATAGACGGTTATCTATTATGCCTGTATTTTCTTATATCATGGAAAAATGCATCGCCAATATAATGTATTCCTTTTGTAATAAATTTGGTTTATATAATAAATCACAGTAGGGGTTTAGAAAAGGAAAAAAGTACAACGATGCTGCTTAAAGATTTCATTCATTTTGCGAATGAAGCTCTACATCATAATAACATATGTTTAGCACTTTTTTGTAGATTTATTGAAAGCTATTGGCACAATATATAATTTAAAAGTGCTAAAGAAGCTGTACACGTTCAGTTTTAGATGACCATTTTATAATGTTTTTTTTAAATTATTTTTCATATAGAACACAATACGTTAAAATGGAACAAAATATTAGCAAGGAAGTACATATAAATTATAAAATACCGCAAGGGTCGGCATTGGCTCCTTGCTATCTAATATTTTTGTAAACGACATGGGAAACCTAAAATATCATTCCACGCTGTTTTAGTATACAGATGATACGGCTTTAATTCTTCGACATAAAAAAATATGAAGGGGCAGTACAATATTTTAAAGCGACATTAATACATATCATATTGGTTTACTGAAAATAAGATATTTGTAACTTAAAAAAAATACACAATTATTCTGCTTTTGAAATCCCTGCCAACGTGTTCTATAGATCGTCTTTATTCCTTCCCAGAAACAAAGGGGTACAGGATAAAAAATTGAAATATGAGGCAAGCGCAAAATATCGTGGATTTAATTTCGATAAACCTATGACTTAGGAATATGACATTGACTGAATTAAAAAAAAAGATTAAAAACTCTCTCATCATTTATATATCGAATTGGCAGTTCAGCATGTGCTCATGTAAAGAAAAATATTGATTCTGCCTTAGGAGAGTCTATACTGAGATATGACAACTTAATTTATGGTTCCAGCTCAAATAACAGAATACGAACCGTAGATAAGCAAATATATACGATAGTAAACAATATTGCATAACGTACACAGGTTCCACATTTGGAATCCATCAACAAACTTAAAGCAAGTAATATAATGTCGTTGAGTTATTTAATCAAATATACAGCTATAACAACAAGTTACGTCTCCAGAGCAGACTAACATCCGGTACAGAAAAGGCTTCGCAGAAACATAGATGGATATTATTTGCCAAGAATAAACACACATTACGGAAAACGAATGAGAAGTTTGAATGTCCCTTATAAATTATATAAGATGCCAGAAGAGCTCATTCGTTTAGACTCTCTAAAGTAAGTTAAAAGCAAATTTAGAACATGGTGTTTGCAAAATCAGATGTACACAATTTATATACATTGATGTTTCCTTTATAAAATACATCAGCTGCTCTGTGAGGTCTAAATCTGTTGTATTGAGAGGCAGAATTTCTTTGTTCTAAATGCTTGCGGTTAAAAGTTGTCATTTTATTGTTTCGTACTGATAAAAAGAGAACGTTCCTGTTTTTTCGGTGGGCGTGATATTTCGTTGTCAACTTTGACTGCGATATTCAAAAAACAAAGTATGATTTTCTTTTTTTCTTTATTTTTACGTATCTTTCCAAAGTGAGTGAACTTGTTATTGGTGTATTGTTATTGTTTTGTTTGTTTTCAAGGCAAATGGCAGCGTTATATAGATAAGTATTCGCTGCTGTCGGGCCAGGTCGCACAAGCCTCTAGGCTTCGGCGGAGCCGATTTTCCTTACTGTAAAAAAGAACAATAAAAAATATTATTATTATTAAAAAAACACAAGAAATAAAAAAGACGTTTCAGCTATCACAACATATAAACGTCATCCGTACATGGATGCATTTTCTTATATAATCTAATGCCAATTAAAATTAAACTTAGTGGGTCTTTATATAATTTTATTTTATAAATGTAATTTTATTATCTTTATCTTGCACACAATTTTTTATATCGTAATTAGTCGATTCGCGCCATATTATAAACCATTGGTTTCTTACGCCCCCAAAGACAAGGAAATTATGATAATGATGGCAGTGTGAGATTAGGTTCAGTATTGACGCGTAGGCTGAAGCCTCCAGCAAATCATTGCACAACCTGCTATCATGACGAGTTATAATTAAGCTACAGGTAGTGTCAGTTTTTATTGCAGCTAAAATGAATGGCTCTCTCTGCCTATCTGAAAAGCCTCCTACTTTTGAACTGTGTAAAAAAAAAAAAATCAAGCCTCCTAAAACTTCAATACACACAAACTATACATGGTGCGTGATATTTAGAGTGCAGCTCTTAGGTGCCCATTTCCGGTTTGAGCGGCGTCGCCGTCGCCGTCAGCGTAACCGCACGTTGCATTTTGGGACGTTTCCCGTAATGATGCCACACGTTATGTCACGTGTGACGTCACAAGGGTCGCGGGGTTTGCGCCTGGCGTCACATGGGTCACGGGGATTGCAAGTGGCGTCACGAAGGTTACGAGTGACTACAGGACGGTCACGAGGGTCACTAGTGACGTCAGGTGTGACGGTGCCCTCGTGACGTCACACGGCGCTTACCTTTGGCGATAAAATTTTCCGCTAAATTTAGCGCGAAAAGTTCCCCACTAAATTTAGTGGTAAATTTTCTTGCTAAATTTAGTGGTAAATTTTCTTGCTAAATTTAGTGGAAAATTTTACCTGTAAATCTAGCGGGTAAATTTTTTCGCCGAATTGAGCTGGAAATTTTTCCGCTAAATTTCGCGCGGAAATTTCTTCGCCAATTTTTTGCGCTAAATTTAGCGAGGAAATGTTTCCGTCAAATATAGTGAGGAAGTTTTCCGCCAAATCTAGCGGGAATCTTTTTTCGCTAAACATAGCGGTGAAATTGTTTGCCGAATTTAGCGGGAAAATCTTCCCGGTAAGCTTAGAGAAAATATTTTCTCGCCAGGCTTAGCGGGAAATTTCCCCGCTATATTTAGCAAGGGAATCTACCGGGAGATCGTCCCACAATTTAGCGCGTCCTCTAGAGACCCTTGAAGTTGTTTGATCTGACACAAAAGTTAAATATGTCGGTATGCATAGGTGTCCCGTTGAGATAAATACTCATATGCAGTCTTTGGTAGTAATGCGTTACTAGTAATGCGTTAGTGTAACTTCGTTAATTTTTTGGTAACTTGTAACTGTACCGAGTTCCTTTTTAAAACTGTAACTTTTAAGTGTATAGTTCTATAACTTCTTCTGAGGTCACGAAGAGAGTGACGACGTTACTTTTGTCGTTACTTAAACGTTTTTTTATGAACAGCGTATCATTGAACGAGTACAATCTAGCTATTCCTTACATTTTCCAAATTGTCTGTTCCGACATTTCGATTGTCAAGTTGGCCTTGCACAAACTTCTGAAGACGTTCCTTTATCGCGAGTCACGACCCGAATATAGCGACGTGCAGATTTGGTTAAAACATCTAGTTATCTTTACGCACGCGCTTGTACTTGGTGGCTGAAGACTTACATCCTAGTATCTTGAAGCACTATCTACTCCGGCTTGGTGTCAACAGGGGAGGCAAAATTTACTGCTGTTTGCGCGGGGTTTGTTTCTGGCTTGCCGGGTACGAAGTGAGATACGTCCAGAGACTCTATGCACCCAGCGTAACCGTCAACGAGCCAGCAATATGCTAGTGCTAGCAAGGATATGGGTGTTGATGAGAACAAAAAGGAACTAACATGGCCAGCGTACAGAGAGTATTTTGCTGCGGAGAAGGTGGTTGCTAACAGCTTGACCACAGGAAACGGAACTCTGTTGCCTCAACGCCTACCGGCAATCGAAAACCCGTTCCTGCGACACAACAGAGCAATTCCTACAAGCACGCCAGATAAGCTCCTGCTCAGCAAACGGCAGCGACGTGTTCTCCCTCACAGGAGGGAAACTTTCAGACACTAATTTCGAGAAGCAACTGCTGTTAAGTTACAATATAAAGAAAAAAGCTTTCTTTTTTTTTTTTAATTTTGTGCAGTAAAACGTATAAGGGGCGCTAGTTTTTCCTAATTTTTTTGTCAAAGAAGAGTAGCTGATAAGTAACGTCGTTACTTTTGAAAAGTAACTGCAACGGAAACGAGTTACTCGTTTATTGCGGTAATTGTAACGTTAACTTCATTAATTTTTTTGACAGAAACTTACTGTAGCAAATTACTATTTAAAAGTAACTTACCCGAAACTGGTCATATGTTTGTTTGAAGGCAAATTACGTCCATGGGATTTGTAAGATATCATCACATCATTGTTGTCGAGATGGTTGGGAAAATGCGAGTTAAAATAACGTGTTAACTAGCACTGACACAATGTGCGAAGGTCAAAGTACGATCGTTGCACATTAAAAATTTCCGCAGTTTCGTTCCTGTTTGATCAGCAATTTCAGCCGTGCTGGACGGAGTCGCGCCGGTGACGAAGGCAAGCGATATATCAGATGTCTTCCTGGCGAACGTTCCATTTGGGTTCGGGGACTAAAACATGCGGATGCATCA